GGAGGGGAGGGGATAGATGGGGAAGGGACAGAGAAGGGGAGACGAGACAATGTGAGAAGAGGATGTGCAAGATGAAGGAATGTGATTCTAAGAAACCTGGAGGTTGACGACCAACACAGGAGAGGAGATATGCATACAAATCGATAGGGGAGAGGAGCTTTCATGGGACCCATACAACAAGAAAACGAAGGAAGACTGTGAAGTTGAAAGAAGAGAGGATAGGAGGTCAGGCAAGAGGTCGTGTAGCGTGGAAGGGCAATAAAAGGAGAGGAGGAAGGGAGAAACGAGGAAATGGCATGTCATACTGACGAGTTCCTATCCTCAGCCTCGTTTCCTGTCACAGGATGAGCGCGCCGACGGTTCATGGGCTTGCTCTAGCGAGTCGAGGGTGACATTGGCGGCAGGTATGGGAGGGAGCTGGAATGTCGCAGCTGGACTTTATGCACAAGGACGAGTGCGTGCTACTGGACATGGAGGACAAGATAGTCGGTGAGAGCCGGAGGGCAGCTGAACGTCTTCAGCTCACAGTGTGCGAGGTCACGACAACAAGTACGAGTCGCACATCTTCTGCCCGGAGCGACCGAGGGGCAAACTTCACCGCGCGTTCTCGGTGTTCCTCTTCAACGACAAGGGAGAGCTCCTCCTCCAGCAGGTCTGCTCGCGTCACTGGCGGGCCGATGGAGGCTGACGGTTAGGCAGCGAGCCAAGGAGAAGATTACCTTCCCAGGCGTTTGGACCAACACCTGCTGTTCCCACCCTCTCTTTGGCTACCAGCCCTCTGAAGTACTCCCTGCTCCCTGCTCCCTGCTCCCTGCTCCCTGCTCCCTGCTCCTGCTCCTGCTCCTGCTCCTGCTCCTGCTCCTGCTCCTGCTTCTTTTGCTCGCCCTCCTGTCCGCCCTTCTTGTCTTCCTCTTCTTGCGCCTCTTCTATCCTCCTTCCTCCCCTCGCCCTGTCTCTGTCGTCCTATTGAGCCGTCGCAGGTTGACGGGCCTGAAGAAGTGAAGCGAGGAGACGTGCCGGGGGTCAAGCGCGCGGCCGTTCGCAAACTTGAGGTGTGGAGGAGGCGAAGGATGAGGAGAGGAGGGGAGGTGAAGGAAGCAGGGGAGAAGGGACGAAGAGAAGTTTAGAGGAGAGGAGGCAGAGAGCAGGAATGAGGGAGGGGAGGAGGAGATGATTGACCATGGCACACAGCACGAGCTTGGAATTTCTCCTTCTCAAGTTCCGATCGAAGACTTCAAGTTCCTTACACGTCTGCACTACTGGGTGAGCGGGAGGGAGGGAGGGAGGGAGGGAGGGAGGGAGGGAGGGAGGAGAAGGAGACTGACGAAGAGGGACAGGCTGCTGATGTTGTCACTCACGGACCAGCTTCTCCCTGGTAGATGAAGGGAAGGGTGGGGATGAGGGAGAGGATCAAGGAGCATGGGAGAAGGGAGGAGGAGGAGGAGAGGGCGAGAGGTGGAGAGGAGGAGGAGGTAGAGAAACTGAAGATGTTTCAGGGGAGAGCATGAAATCGATTACATCCTCTTCATCCAGGTCATCGAGCATGAGGAGGCGTGCAAGACTGAAACTCTCACTTCAGGTCAAGGACGTCGAGCTGAAACCGAACCCGGAGGAAGTGATGGACACAAAGTTGGCTCCCTCCCCTTCCCCCTCCCTTTCCCTCCCCTCCTCTTCTCACTCTCCTCCCTCAATCTGCAACGCAGTTCGAAACCCTTTTCATCCTCGTCCTCATCCTTCGTCCTCGTCCTCGTCCTCGTCCTCGTCCTCGTCCTCGTCCTCGTCCTCGTCCTCGTCGAAACCCTTTTCCAATTCCTACCGTTCCTCTATCCTTCGTCCTCGTCCTCGTCCTCGTCCTCGTCCTCGTCCTCGTCCTTGTCCTTAACTTCTGCTAATTCTCCTCAGGTGGGTAACCTACGTCGAGCTGCTTGAGATGATGATGCCTTCCTCCAACTTGCTCTGGTCCCCCTGGTCAGCCCTCGCCCCACCCCCTCCTCCTCTTTCTCTTCTCTTGTTCATCTGATTTTCATCCTCCCCCCCCACCCCCCCCCTCCCCCCCCTTGGCTGGTGGCCACCTGAATCTCCTCCAGGTTTAG